GTGTGTGTGTGTGTGTGTGTGTGTGTGTGTGTGTGTGTGTGTGTGTGGGGGTGTGTGTGTGGGTGTGTGTGTGTGTGTGTGTGTGTGTGTGTGTGCAGACTCACCGTCAGTTGGTAAAGCCACTGGGTACATCTCTTTCAGCAGGTCACAAAGTGTGTGCACGCTGCCTTCAGGTGAAACGGGGCGAAACAGCTTCTGGATGAACGGCCTGTCGCTCGTCGTCTGTAATGAATTAGAGCGCGGCAGGTTAACAAGCGAGATGTCCAAAGACACCAACAACGTAACAGTCGAGATTAAATGAAAAATGCCCCTTTAACCCTTTTAGATCACTTCCTATTATGCACCTTTTAAATATGCAAAAAAACGTTCTATTTCCTTGTATTTTTATATCAAAATCGAATCATATTTTTGTCCTGTAAAACAAAATACAATGCGTGCTCATGTAAGCTAGTACCGACCAATAATATCACAACATCATCGATCAAAGTTATTTACTCATCGGGCATGAGACATCAATTCAAGGAACTGCTGGAAAGGAAAGTAAACAAAATATCCGGTAAATGGGACATGTTTCATGTGATGGTGGATTTTTAAGGGGATGAGCAGAGTTCAGATAGCGTCCACACCGCGACGCACGCAAATGCTGCGAAATGAACCGTCTGCTCAGCTGAGCTGGGAATGCGGAGCTTTGATGAGCCCGCCTGTTCAGAATGCGATGTTTAGCAATCGGCAAAAATTCCGACAGATGTTACATGCGACGCCGACATGTTTTACTGATCAGGAAACAGTCTGGAAGTCATTAACCGCTGGTTAAGTATGTACTTGGCACTAGAAGTCAGCTCCTACACAGACTAACCGCTGGTTAAGTATGTACTTGGCACTAGAAGTCAGCTCCTACACAGACTAACCGCTGGCAGTTGTCGAGGTTCTCAGATGAAGTACGATGGCAGATTAGGACCATTGTAGGTCAATAAATAAATAAAAAAGACGCAGCAGGGGGAGGGTTGAGATTAAAGGCGTGAATTTACGAGAGAAAACTCAGACATTTAAGCCCAAACACATGTCTGTTCTCTGAGATTATAAAGTCACATATTTACAAGGAAACAACTCTTAAGAATAGTGTTTTTTTAAATGTTGTCAAGGAACCACATCGCTTCACTTTGCGACGTTGGAAGCCAACCGCCACCTGCAAATCAACCGTCACTAAAATTGTAGTTCACTCATGTATTAAATTTATGGTAAATGCATTGAAACAGCCCAGATCGAGCTCACGGGTAGAGTTAGCGCGGACTTGGCGAAGTTAGCGGGAGGATACATGTGTGACTACAAATCATGTTTTCAAAGTAAGGTGTTGACAAAGGATAAATGAATACATATATGGAAACGAGATTAATCAGATTATATTCACAAGAAGTATAAAACATGTCACCTGGGTTATAAATTAAAAAGATAATACCACGAGATTGTGAGGTAAATTGATTTTTGGGTTGCCATGACTGATGAATATTGTCCCTGTCCCCCCCCCCCCGTAATTTGTGTTTTCTTCTAAATGTACCACTTTAATCTAAAACATACAAAGTTGTTTTCCTCTCAAAATCTACAATAGCCCTAATACGCCGTCGTAGATCAAGAGAATAGTTAAACTATTAAACGTGACATTGTCTTTTGTTCCCTTTAAGAGAAACCCTCGTGTCTCCTTCATCGCTCCACAACCTAAACACAGTGTTTTGCTCGAGGACACTTCAGCAGAATGCATGCTTTTAATTAGAATGCCATCCTGCTGCTCTAAAAGTGACAGTGAGCCTAAAAAGTCGATCTTTCCCCTGGTTTCTCCCCCCCCCACACTGTATGTGATCCTTCTCCAGTCAGAGGCTGTCATGATGATGTAGTCCTGACCTGTGACCTCCTCGCGATTTGTTACTTATCACGGTAATGATCTAGGAACCAAAGCGTGTCCTGCTGCTGACCACAATGCAAATCACTGTGGGTGAGAGCGGACCGCTAAATGCCTCAAATGTAAACTGTCTAAGTCACGGCGGGACAGTTAAACAAGAAGTGACGTACGCTGCAATCATCCTCGTGACTGTTCGGCTCTGATCTGCAACCCTGCAGCCACAACATTCCATGTGTGAGAGGTGCGGGAAGCACAGTGGGAAATTACCACCAGACGGCGGACAAGAAACCTAGTAAACTACGTCCAGAGCCGGTAATGGACTTTGACTCAAGAGTTTAAGGACAGGCGGCGTCGTGTGTCGTTTACGTGTGTCGGTATGCCCTTTGAGGCAATTTTATCCCAAAACAGATCTTTACACAGAGCCTATGATACAAGTAATATCTATTGAACTGCTTATATTAATTAATGTATTAATCACTGTCAGTTCAGAGCAGAGTTAAGGCTTCAGTGGTTGAGGTTACCGGGTGACCCGCGTCCTCGGGACAGGAGGCGAGGCGTCGGGCGCTGGATGCCGACCAGGAGCTGCCGTCAGGCGGTGATTTTATAATGCTGTCCGGTTAACCAAGCGCCTTAATTCAGTAAATCTATGCACCATAGTGACTCAGGAGCATGCACATTTTAAACACCAGCTAATCTCACTAATTGGTTGTTTCTTTGAGTGAAGAGGTGTTAATTAGTGGAGTCAGTGGGAGTGGTGGGCTGAGAGATGCAGCATTTCTATCTCTTATATCAGTAAAAACTGAATCAGTTTCTCAACAGTTATATTCTTCATTAGTTGCAGCCATAATAAGATATTTTGGGGGGCAAATATACAAAAATAGATAACAGTTAAGTTAAATAGATTGATGTTCAACCAGGCAGCAACCTCTGGTTCTGTCGAGTAAAGCTGATGCTGAAGAGTCATAAAACCTGCATTCTCTCTAGTGTCCACCAGGGGGCGACTCCTCTGGTTGTATAGAAGTCTATGAGAAAATGACTCTACTTCTCTCTTGATTTATTACCTCAGTAAACATTGTAAACATGAGTTCATGGTCTCAATCTCTAGTTTCAAGTCTTCTTCAATACAGCATGATGTTCATTTAGTACATTATGGTCCATTTAGAGTCAAACAGACCGTAAAGCAGGGGATGCTTTAGGGCGGGGCTACTGCGATACCACTGAGCAGCATGTCGGTGGTAGAAACTGAGGCCTCGGAGAGAGAGAGACACAGAGAGAGAGAGAGAACGTGGTGCGGGCAGATACCCAACCTGAGGTGTCAAACAGAGAGTCCGACACACAATAGGTGCCTAATCATGGAGCTGTTAAAAGGAAACCGGCGAGGACCGGGATCGGGTAACCGAGCTGTAACTACACACCGCGGAGCCAGGCGCGAAAAAAACAAAACAGCAAGAGGAAGGGTGGCAGCGGAGGCGTGAAGCCGGCCGCTCGGGTTACACAGAAAGACTGAGTCACTGACAGGAAGTGCCGCGTTTTTTCGTGCGAGGCTCGTCTGCGACAGCCAGGAGCAGAGAGAGTGCGCTAAGTGACAGCTACCTTCGTTGCATTTTTAAATAGCCCGCCATTAATTATTGAGCCGGTCGCATACAAAGAAGGCGCCATTGATCCCTGGAGGGGGAGAAGCCTGATACTGTTTGGATGGAGACACTTTCTTTTCAGCCGAGGCGACACCTTAGCTGGCACGGCAGCACATGGCGACACAAAGAGAGCGAGGTGTCAGTGGGACTCGGGGTAACTCTCGCCGAGTGAAAAGAGCGGGGCGGAACTCAAGACGGCCGGCTAATTGATGGAGGGGATTCAATCCGCCTAATTGATGGCAACAAAACAAACAATGGACGGGGCCGTCAATCAATGTGACGTGCGAGAGAAAGTATTTCCACTGAACTCTGAGACCGTCCATTCGTAAATTAAAATTCCAAACCTCTCTTTGGCGGCCTTCATTTTCCCAGAAGTTGAAATACACACCGGCAGAGCAGGAACTCCATCAAGGGACACTGAATCGAATTCTGAATTATTCACGTGTTGCGTGCTGGAGCCATTCATCGGCATATTTTGGTGCTAATCTGAGGCTCCATCAGCAGGAGGATTTGTATTCAGTCATTCTTCTGAACTGTAGGCATCATCTTGATGTTTTAACTCATTTTATTTTGGCACAATATAAATCCATAATTAATGAAAGTACTGCCATTTATGTACCAATAGTGGTATTTACAAACGTAGAAAGTTTTTGTTTTATCTGCCCGGGGTTTTCAGATATCCGTGTCTCCGTCTCAATACTACCAGGAATACTGTTGTTTCTATGAAACATGTTGACGGTGGGTATATTCAATGAAAACAAAACTATCTGCATGACAAGATACCACGAGAAGGAAGATAGGATGTGTTTTTTTTTTGGATCTTGGCAAACTGCAAAAATGTACCTCTTCAGAGAGCATTACAAGTTGTGATAATCTTAGATAATCAACAATAATAAATGGTAAGTCCAGGGTTAACTTTATGCAGCCCAACAGGAACAAATCCAGTTCTATGGGAAGGAGTGCAGTTTGAAGCTTCGTTTATACTCGCCGTAGTGAGCGCCAGAAAACGACGTCATCACAGCTAGCGCGTCGTGCGCCAAAGCTCTGCAAGTGGTCATGGCTCTTGGTCGTGCACCTCTGAATTTTTGTAACTTGGCCAAACCATCAGAGCTTTTGGGACGTGACTGTCAGAAATAGTTCACTGATAAAAGCACTATAAACAAGTCTAAGGATTAAACACAGAAAGACGATTAGTTTTTAGATGCTTTAGAAACAGGAGGTCTTAAAAAACTTCATTTGAGTAAATATTTTGCAGCCAAATCAAATAGTTTACAGGATATTCAACTTTTGTTTATTTATAATGCATGTAATACTTGACTTGATTCTTTACAGGGTTTGTACAAAGGTAATAAAGTAGTCTATAAATATGAGATATGAGTTTATAGATAATTACTCCTCGGGCATTATGGAGGTTTATGGTGTTTTGCTCCTGCTACGGTGCGTACATGAGGGCGACTGACTCTTTAATGCGATATCGCAAGAACAAAACAAAGACATGGAATTAATTATCACAAATTAACCTCCATCTGACGATGCAATGATCAGCTCTGTTTGCCAACACCACGATGTAAAGAAAGCGGAAGCCCGTACAAAAGGCTACTGAAGGCTTTTCCGTGGAAAGTCACGGCTCTACCAGACGACATTACAATAAAGGAGGCAGCGCATTCTTCCCACACTGCAACAAGGCACATCACCTGTCGCCTCCGGCCTGAGCCGTTTCCAGCATTCCCATGTTGTGTAATTGCCTGTGCAGTCACCACCTCCCCCTCGTCTCACTAAGCCATCGCAAGATATCTGGGAGGCAGTAAAACCTGCATTCTGTAAAGGCCCGCACCGGAGGGTTCGTGAGTAAGCGCCGAGTCACGCAGCGGCGGCGAACAGAGAGGTGTACCTGTAGAGCAACAATGCAAGCAGTGTTTAAAAAACAAAGGACAGTAATTTTCACTTTCCGCGCAGCGAGACGGTCCCCCCCCCCAACACACCCCCAACACACCCCCAACACACCCCCCTCCTCCTCCTCTGGTTCTTTTGAATCACAGAGTGGCGTCACTACCGGAGCAGGAAAGATGCACCGGCGGCCAAACAAGTCCTGCCGCCAGACGGAGGCGAGGCGCTGGCAAACACACACAAGCAAATGAAATAACAAATATAAGAAACAGGCGACACACACACCGAAGCTTGCAAAGATCAGATGAACACACGGAAGTTTAAAAGAACGTGAAAGTAACAAAGGAAAGGAAAGTAGAAGAAGAGGAAAAATTCCACAAAAAAGGAGTTATTATTGATAACATCAATGTCCGTATTTATGTAGTTTATGTAAAGGAGATAAAACGTTAAAAAAAAGTCAATTAAAAGAAAAAAAATGTTTTAATTTGAAGGACACAAACAAGAGTTAATGTGAGGCCCAGAAATGTGGTTTTAAAAATGTTTAACCGTCAGGACATGAGGCAGACACACAGAGTGTGTCGTCCATGCCCACGAGGTGTCTTTGTCTCCATGAGGACTGCAGGCCAGACGGAAATGAGCCCTCTGTTATTTGGACTGAGTGTTGTCATTAATTCTGTCTGCATCAAACACAGCACATGTTATTTACACTAAAGACCACAATCTGGCTTTGAAGGACTCTGAGCATGTGTGTGTGTGGGAGGGGGGGGTCTTTCCTCTGTGTGAAGCAGTCTCCTGTTAAGTCACCACAGTGACTTCGGAGTGCCAAACAGCTTTGTTCTTCTCAGTGAATCTGCACCTTTTCTTTGTTTCCAGACTGAGTGTCTTTTCTGAGTTTTCTTACATCGTGTTTCGTCTTGTCACGGAAACTCCGGCCAACAAAACGCTGGATTTTCTCCTCAGCAACGACATAATCAGGGTTTTTTCTTGGTCAACATCAGCAATATTGAGATTGCACCCACAAAGTTAAAGAGTTTCAAAGTTAATGAAAGTAATTGCTCGTATGAACATATTTAGCTTACACTGTTTTTCTTTCCAGACCTCCTTCGGTTGTAAATAATCTCACAGTTTGTAAGAGGAAAACCACAACATCTCCAAAACAATCCAGACTTTTCAGGAACGATGCCATTTTTCTTCTTTTTTTTCAAACCAATATGTTAAACAGGCTTTGATGCTCCAATTATCACGAAACCAACTCAGCTCATAAATGACCGTGGAAACTTTCAATTCGAAAAACACCCAAAGAAACTGGAGCGGTTTGGGTTCCTTCTACCCCGCCAGCAGTTACACGACTTTTTACAGCTGCAACAAGTGCACGTCTGAGAGGGCGGGTCGTTGTCTGGTGAGACTGCGTGTTTCAGTCGACCACTTTAAAAAGAGTCGCGTTCTTTATAACCCGACACAAGAATGTTCTTTTGTCCCCGAGTGTAAAAACGGTTTATTTATGCGCCGAAGATGTGAAAGTAAAAACAAAAGCGTTTACAGGTCTTTTATATAGATATATTTAATTTTTTATTTCATGCAAAACAGTCGGCGTTGATTGACAGCTGTACTCCCGCCTTTCCTTGTTGTGCAAAATTGTAAACGCAGCCATGTGTGGAGCACAGCGGGTCTCATTAAAAAGCTTGACACGCTCAATAATAATTCAGCTCGGGGGGGAAATTACCAGCAGTCACAGCAGATATGATGTTCTGTTCCAAACATTTACAAATCTCTTCCTGTTTCGTTCCGTGACACTCTGATCTACTCAGATTCACTTCCTGCTCCATTTTTCTCACATTATTTCTTTCCCAACCTGTCCCGACACGCTTCGCTGTCTCACATCCGCCAACAGGACTCGCTGACAGCGAGGAGGCCTTTTTCTGTTTGCTGTGATTTGAGATGAAGGTTCAAATGCACGCACGTTCGGCCGCTCGACTCAAAGCAGACTGTCAACATGTTTTTGTTGCAAAGATCCAGATGTTTTCCAAATCTTTCTTTCCCTGACTGGACTGGACGAGGCCTCCTCAGTGTCCAGCTGGATTACAATGACTGTTTGTGTGTATTATCTTTTACTACACTGTTGTGTTACTGTTGAGTCATTCTGTGCACCTCCTGAACATTTCCAAACCGTGGAAGTTGTCAAATTAATTCCCCACGCTTTTTCATCTGCACAGAACCCCCCCCCCCCCAAACACTTGACTCAAAGCATGGCACTTTTCCTCCGCTGTCTGGCTCGCAGCGTGCTAATGTTTTCCAGGCGAGAATCAGTCGCTTATTCATCCTCTCGTCTTTCTTGTTTTTTTGTCCTCTAACAGGGAATTTTCACCTGAGTCAGGAAAAAGGCCGCTTGTCTGCCTACGCCGCCTCATCCTCCTCCTCATCCCGGACTGAAGCCCTGAGGCACGCATACCGGCTGCTCCCGGTACACTGGAATTACACGTAAACTGGGCAGAGTTCCAAGTATAGGAGCCCATGAATAACCTCCAGAAAGCACCAGGGCAAAGACGTTTTGTATTTTATTTCATTTTATTTATTTATTTCATTTCATTTAATAAAAACAAATATTAAATTGAAATGATTTATTTTATTTCATTTTGTGTTCTTATTGTATCGATTGTTTGTACTGTTTTATCTATTGTACTGTTTTATCTATTGTACTGTTTTGTCTATTGTATTGTTTTATCTATTGTACTGTTTTATCTATTGTACTGTTTTATCTATTGTACCGTTTTATCTATTGTACTGTTTCATCTATAATAAAATTTGTATCTATTGTACTGTTTTATCTATTGTACTGTTTCATCTATAATAAAATTTGTATCTATTGTACTGTTTTATCTATTGTACTGTTTCATCTATAATAAAATTTGTATCTATTGTATTGTTTTATCTATTGTACCGTTTTATCTATTGTACTGTTTTATCTATAATACAATTTTTATCTATTGTACTGTTTTATCTATTGTACTGTTTTATCAGTGTTTAAATGTGACCGTCTGCTTTTGCTTTGTCTGTCAAAGCCCTTTGTAAACTCTGTTTTTAAAAAGATGCTTTATAAATAAAGTTATTATCATAAAAGTTATTATTGAGTATTTCATCAGAGGTCACAAGAACAACAAAAATCTGCCGTGAAACTGTGAACTTTGTTTTCAGTTTTGATGAGAGCATCACGCTCTATCTGAGCTTTCATCATCTGTAAAGAACTGAGTGAGTTTGAATGGAAAACCGACAACCGGTGTCATAAAGGGATGTCTGATATAATAAGACTCATTGTTTCATAGTGATGACTATCTCAAAAAAAGGTCAATAACTCATCAGTTGCACAATTTGTAAAATCAGGTGATGAAGTGATGCAATGGTTTTTTTTTTTACTGATATTCTGCAGGTGTGTGTGGGCGCCAGGGAGAAGCCACATGTACACTTCATGGTTCAGAAGCTGCACAGGAATTATATGTATAATGTATAATTATTTATATATATATACAGGAATATATAAAAGAATCTGAGGCTCCATCAGGTCAGCAAGAGGATTTGTAATCAGTCGTTCTTCTAAACTTTATGCATCATTTTGATGTTTTAACTCGCTCTTTTTGGCACAATCCACTTTAAGAGGATAATTAATGAAAGTACTGCCATTTACGTACCAATAGTGGTATTTACTCACGTATTTAGTCCTTTTATACATTAAATGAAGTATTATTTAATGTATAAAAGGCACCTAGATTTCTTTTACACATAAAAAGAAGAACAAAAAGAGTCGTTTTCATGACTCTGTTTGGAGGGTTTTCACACAGACATCTGGCGACACCTACTGGGCTGAGTGACAAACCAGCCCGAGTCCAGAGGCACTTAAAATGTACTAATGTACTAATGTTTTATTTGAATGTGTGTGTTACCTGGTATATCCTGAAGGGGATGTATCTGAAGCCTCCCTCCTCGGTGGGATATTCCATCAGCTTCCTGTTTATGGCCCAGAACTGGTCGAACTTATCTGTGACGAAAACACAAACAGGTGAGTAGTCGCAAAACGTCCCGATGAGAAGACATGTGGATTTGATGTTATCTTCAAAATGCTTCAAAAGGAAGTGAGGGATGTAAAAGCATGAAAACATATGGAAGATAAGGAATAATTCCTATAAATGAATATAGTATAATAAAAAAATAATAAAAAGTGTGGAGATACTCCAGAAACCTGACAATAATCGGAATATTACATGTAAACATATCTGGGGGAGAGGAAGGAGAGGAAGGAGGGAGAGGGAGAGGGAGAGGAAGGAGAGGAAGGAGGGAGAGGAAGGAGAGGAAGGAATTACAGTAGTTGAGTCTTGAAAAGAGGAATGCATGAATGACTTTTTCCAGGTCAGGGTGAGACTAACTGCAGGATAAATCAATGTGTGCATAAAGCGAAACGTGTGAATCTAGAACTGTTGTTAGAATCGTCTAAAAACGATCCCACCCAGCATGCACTGCTTTCAAACCCTCCGTCTCTCACTTTCACACTGAACCTCCCATTTTCTCTCTCATCCTGGGTGAAAGCTCTCTCTCTCTCTGTTTCTGATCTCTTTTGGAACGTGAAAGTCTTTGGTTTAGAAAAAAGGTTTCGTCTCTCACTTTCATGTGCAGCTCCTTCTGTGTTATCCGTTTCTGTGTTTGACGCAGTTGCAAACTCTTTGACAGCCACACCCTGAACTTTCTAAAAGAGTTCATAGAATCATCTGTTGAGTCTCTCTCTCTCTTAGTTTCAGGGGGAACGTAGGAAAAGAAAGACGAGATAAGCGGCTGACGCTTTTGTGGGTTTTGTCTGCAAACCTGTTGAAAACATTCTCAGTGAGACGTGGAGAGTTTCCACAGTTACAAACAATTATGCAGACAAAGTCGGTCTCAGTTTTCTGGACGTTATTTGCGGTGCGATTAGTTTGCTTTCTTGTGAGCTTTGGTTGTGAAACACCTTCAGCAAGTGAAGTAAAAGCAGCTGAACATCAAGAGAGACACTGAAGGAGATACACAGTTGAGGGCTTTCTGAACTGACGGATATGGACATTTCACAAACTAAATGTACAATTTATTGATCCCAAAAAGTAACCAACAGATCAATTGCTAAAGAAAATAATTGTTAGCTGTAACCTTATTTATAAGTGAGCATCAAATGTGAGAGTGTTGACAATTATAGATCAAAACAAGGAGGCACATTCATACACAACAGAGGGCGGTGACGTCACCAACGTGTTTGACGTTGCCTCGTTTGATCAACTTGACCTGCAGTGATTCCAGGAATCTCACGCAGTTCAAAGACCCCCCCCCCCAGCTCTTATTCCCACATCAAACTCAAACGCTTCAGTATCACCGGCTTCACCTACACAAACCACCGGACCGTGGGTGGACTCGGAAAAAGGGGAAGTAGGTGGGTGTTTGGGTGGGAGAAGTTTTGAAACTTCACAGACTGCTATCAGACTTTAAAGGAAATGTGCGTGTGTGTGTGTGTGTGTGTGTGTATGCAGGAACAAGGCAGGAAGTAAATCTATTTGGATGTATTTTTGTGTGTCTTTGAAAGCACCACATCAACAAACAAGTGAATATTTTGCAAATATTAATTGTAAAAATATATGTGTGAGCTACAACATAAAATATGAATAACTGCATGCAGTGTGTGCGTGTGTGTGTGTGTGCAGGCATGTGTGAATCTGCATATAGGTGTGTGTGAGCTGCAGGGAGACAACATGTGTGCATCTAAGTGTTAATGAATGAATGTGTGTCACTTCCCCAACAGCTGCTTGTGGTCTTTCTTCTTTGAAGTGTGTGTGTGTGTGTGTGTGTGTGTGTGTGTGTGTGTGTGTGCACGAGTGTGTGCGAGTGTCACCTTTTTAGCATGCTAAATCGCAGCTGCTTATAGAAATG